ATTCCTGCTTTGTTGCCTAAGCCAGGTATAGATTTAAAACATCCACATAATCATGAAACAGGATGCCTAGTGATTATCTGCTTCCATCAATGCCGTCCACAGGTTGTCTGTAAATCCCAAATGCTCTTATGGCATGTACCACCAAGACCCTCAGTCAATGTATATGCCTAGCATCAGACACACGGTGGCACTGGAAGGACAGACAGGATACACTCCAGTGTTCTGGCTGAACGAGAAGTAGCTTAGACACATTACTTTCTCCTGTAACAGGATTCAAAGCACGCACAAGCCTACACTACCTGCTTGCATCCAGACAGCATTACCATGAGAAAACTGTGGGCTCTGATGGAGGCATGTCAAAACAATACAGAGAAAACGCTAGCTACATTATATGTCTCCGAATAACTGATTACCGGTTATTCTGTCTGTAAAGTGGAAACGGAAATATTATGATCAAACTTTTAGGAAATCCCTCTAATATCTATTTCTTGAAACAAAGATCTTCATTTCTTCTTTAATTCTTGAAACATTCAAGAACTATTGACACACATGTAATAAGGTTGCTTCTTGTCATTATGGTTTCAAGACTAAGCCAGTTTGTCACACTAAAACTGAGGCTGCAAAACTTCTTCATACCTCCTCCACAAGTTTACCAAAACTTTCCTAATGAAAGAATGTCTAAAAAGACTTCCACAGAAGTGAAGATTATGATTTGTGTTCAGTTACATTGGATGTTAATTCATCTCAAATTATAAGCCGTTGACTAACATTTAAAAGTATTATTTTTTATTATAGCATTTCATGCCTATTATTTCATATATGTCTCTTATCTGGGAATTAATTAAGTTTCAATTTATTTTTCCATTTAGATCTATTGAATTTCAGTGAATGTAACCATAAAATTTCTAGCTGGGCTTTGTCATAATGAAAAATCTGTAATATTATGGTTTAACATTTGAAATTTATTCATAAATTAATTAATTTTAAATATTTATTCCAAAGCACTTTAGTATATTCAAAGATTATTGACAGATTTATGTAGCCACCTCAAAACAAAATTAGCAAGAAATTACTCATTTCGGGTGGTGTTCTTGACCATATCTTCACAACTTCTGAACTCTACTGCTCCCTTAATTGGAAAGTCAAGAACCCAGTCCATATTACATACATTGCATACATTGCATACAAAAATGCACCACACAGAATTAGTAGCCACATTTATAGTTTCCCAATTATATTAAGAAAACAATCATCATAAAATATTAGGTGCATAAATGCCAGCAGTTCCATAAATAAAAATCCTCTGCTAATTATAAGGCACTATATTTTTGTAACATATTTCACACCTTTTTTTTTCCCCAAATGTTTTTCACATCGCAAGACTGAACAAAATTTCACAACCTGGTACTCTTTAACGTAAAATGTGCACATCTATAATTAATTATTACTTTAATTTTGTTTTGGCCAGTTACCTGTTTTCAGATATAGTCAAATTATTACTTGCAGAAATAACAGCTGCATTGGCAGGCAGCAGACAAGAATTTGAAACAAAATAATCCCACACTGGTGAAAATGCTTCTCTGGCTAATGTATAGCTGCCAGTCTGTTAGGCTACCTGCAAAAACAAAAAAAAAAAAAGCAGCACAACAAAAATTTAGCAAGCTTCTGTGTTCATCAAATAACCAAGCCAAATATGATTACAGTATAAAGAAAGGTTTTCAAACTGCCCCCCAACATATAAATTTAGTTTCTGTAAGAATATTCTGACATCTCTGAATAAAACACATGTAGTAGCAATCTGATTCTACTGATATTATTTTGCCTTCAGAGTTAGCATCAGAGAAGGCAAAAGGGTTTTTTGACTGTTAACCAAGGATCTAACAGCCCTTTGTTAAACACTATACAAGTATTGTGTTGCAGTTTTGGAAGGCATATTATTTCATCTAGGTTCATTTTATTTTGCTAATACTGCAGAATGCCCTGCTGCTCTGGATAATGGGATGTAAATGGAGCCGCACAAATAGGGATAAATTCATGTGGATACCTCTTAGCCTGAAAGATTTTAGGAAATCTTCTAACTGTGACCCATGATCTTATCTACAGGGCTAGACAATTTCACTTTTCTCCATGCCAAAATCTGTTTTACATGTTCTTTATTAAGAATACAGAAAATTACGATAAAGGTCTGACAGAGCCTTTGTGGTCTTCCACAAGACACTACAAAAATAATTTCAATATGAAAATGGTTGGATTTGATACCTGGTAAGTTCAATCACATTTTTCATCCCATACTGTAATGACTAATACAATGATTTCTAGTACTTGGTCTCAAATCAGAAAAATAAAAAAATAAATTATAAGAAAGAAGAAAAAAGTTAAATGCAGACTGAAAAACAGGAACAGGGATAAGAAAACTAGCTGAGAGACATCTTTCCCCTTAAACTGGAATTTCCAGTAATTTTGAATTAATAATTGAGTTACTCAAATATATCATTTGTTATGTTAAAATTGTGATTTGTGCTTACCAAGTTTTTGGCAAGAAAGTCTTGAGTTTTTACCCAAAGAAGTTTTAGAGCTACAAGTGAAAACATATAATTACAACCAAATTAAAGTATATGTTTATTATCAAAGACTCTAACCCTACCTGAGTTAGATAGGATCGAACAGTAGTAGCAGAAAGAGGTGGATAAGCAAGGATTGGCTTAGTTGTTTCCCCAATGGCATCACCAATAAGTTTTCCATCAGAAGAATATGCTGCCACTGCAAATATGTATTTTTCATTGGGATCTAAGCCTTGTATTTCCAAGAGGCTTTTCCCATCAGCTGGTATCTATCAATAAAAATATTTTCTAGTTACATCCACTGTACATATCAAAAACAAATCTCAAATTCTAAACTTTTCTTGTTAAATAAATTATTTAATGGTCTTGGATACAATCAAAGCACGACCTATATTAACAGACATGTCATGTTTCCATGTAATACTAGGTTTTTGAAGACAATCAGAAAACAATGAAATGATGGGGAAAAAAAGTATCAGTTTTCTCTGGAACACAGCTGAGAGTACAGAGCACATAACCTAAGAAAACAGTTAAGCACCAGAACCTGGAGTTTCTCTGTGATATTTTTGTCCATTTGCACATTCACACCATGAGTGTTCATGCTTGCAGTCACTGAGCTGGAAACATTCCAGCCCTGAGCTGTGCTTTCAGAAGAAAAGCATATGGCTCTCCTCTGTATGTGCCACTTGCATGTATCAGATATGGGCAGAGGATGTCTCAGGCCCTCTCAGCACCACTAACAGGACTTCAGTTTCTAAAACAAACAACATATTTTCAAGATCTTCTCTTCGTTTTTCCTTCAAGTAATTGTCCACCTGCACTTTAAAATCCCGGCTCACTCCTAACAGGCTTTTCCACCTTTTCCTCCATAACCAGGACAACTCACACAAATGACAGTTTCAGGGTCTTGAAACAACAAACCACTGACACAGTGACTGAAGCACAACATGAGAAATGAGATCATCGTAATGTAGCATCAACACAGTGCTCTTATTTAAATCCTGTCTGGCCTTCATAAGGAGACCTCTGAAAAACAGAAATCCCTTCAAATGCTGGGGCTGAATCCTGAACCAGCAGACCAGAAATTAGTGTAGGACAGTCTGTAGCATCCCTTTAGAGCAAGGTTTTATCATGTTGATAAGTTGATAGATCATTCCATCACCAAGAATTCTAAACCTCTTCCATGGAGCAGGCAGATAGTGACTTTGTCTGCAGATCAGCATTTTGCAAAGGCATATCCTAAAGCAACCAGAAGTACCATTGCTGAGGCATATGTTTAACCTCAGGTCTATGCATCTCCAGTGCCTGCCAGAGCTAAGACAGTCAGTGGCTTGGATGGATTGCAGCAAGTTCACAGAAAGAACAGCTAGCAGTGGGGCGAAAGTGTCCAATGAAACAATTCACCTGGAGCAGGACAGTACATTGAAACTAGCTCACTGGACATCACAGAAAGCTTGACTAGATTTGACTCTCTGGATTTGATAATAAAAATATCAAGAATATAAGCCTCTATTGTCAGTAGATACACAAACCTTCTCTTTTTATGCACCTTCATTTTGGGGTAGGAGATAGGAGGAACAGGAGCCAAGGGAAAGATTTTCTTTCCATCACCAAAGACAAATCTATCAGTGTTAGTATAGAGCTTGCTCAAAAAAACAGAAAAGCTTGAAACAATGGGCAAAAAAGGTTGAGATCATTCTTCTACCACAATGCAAAACAGAGAACTGCCCTGCAAAGAACAGAACTTTTCATGAAGATTTCCAGATATAAACATGATCACTCAGGTCTGAGACTATGGTAAAATCTGCTGAAGAGGATGTGTTGATGCTTTTTTTTGCCCCTTTCTTACAACCCAAAATGCAGAGTATTTGGATTGATCACAGTTGTCATTCAGGTGGACAATGCAACAGCATGAATAAGTGAGTGAAAAACAGAACTCTCTCAGCCTGTGCAGGAACATCAGAGTGTGATTCAAAGGAAAAAAACTACACTAATACAAGACAAAAAAACCAAAACAAATTCAGAAAATAAAACATCAAATTGTAATGAAGCATTAATATAAAAGAGTATCAACAGATACCCTGATCAGTCATAAGTAATCAAAGATGTTTGCCGTGATTTTTCATACCATATGCTCATAGCATGAAAGAGAAAGAGCATGAACCTAGAACTCAATTCTTGTCTGAACATGAAGGTTATTGATAGAGTTGTATTATCATGTTGCCAGAATTAAGTAAGGGATGGTCTTGTTAAGAAGAAATAGCTGATAGAAGTTACACAGTTAAGAAAAATATTAAATTTTATATCTGTTTAGAATTTCTCTTTTTTTGAATCCCTGGAAAGTGTAGTGTCTGGGGCACACTCTATGAATACATCATATGATTTCTTTTCCTTTTGTATTTCTTAGCTGTCACTCAAAAAACAGACAGAAGGGACAGAGACTCATCTAACATGAGGCTTTTGAATCATTTAATTTATTACTCAAAAGAGGTTCCTAGAACTTTTGGGGGGTTTTGGTATGCCTTCAGCCTAGCAAAATTTCAGTTGCTTATAATTAACACCAAAAGGTTAGTCAAAGGCTTGGCCAGTTACCTGATTAAAAAAAGACGTCAGATATATATATTTAGAAAGTTGGGGGTTTTTTAAAGGAAGAGAGAATGACCTAAAGGAGTTTTACCTCTGTCTTACCTCTTCTCCTGCATTTGGAAGTTTATTGTTATTTAACCTTACTTTCATATTGCTTCCTCCTGCTACAGAGCCCAAAATACTGTACCACGAAACCTTTGAAGAAAATGAGAACAAAATGAGTTGATACATAAATTTCCAACTTTTGCCTAATGTAGAATGTACTTATTTTGTGAAAACAGTGTCTCAAAAAAAAACTTAGCTATAAAAACATATAGTGTAACTGCACTAGAAACATTAATTAACTGATTTAGCTGGAGAACTACATATACTACAATGGCAATAAAAGCAGATGACTCTCCATCATCCTATCTCCTACCTTGAGCTACCCTATACCTCAAATCTATCTCAAAGCATAAACTCTATAGGTCATCTACATCCCTTATTTGACGCTTGCAATGGTATTCTAAAGCTGACATCAGGTTCTGATTCAGTGAACTGTGTGAGGACAGATCCTTAAAAGCAGGAAACAGAAAATGTAGATATGAAGTAATGCAGTAGTAATTTCGAAACAAGCCATGTTCTTAGCTCCTGTTACAATCAATGTCTTTTTAATGCCATTGAGCTGCTGATAATCCCATTGGGCAGATCATCTACACTTTTCAATATCTTTAACCAAGGAAGAATGTGAGTATGCATTCTTGGATCAGTGCTCAGTTGTGTCCAGTGAGATCAAACACGGAAATGAATTTTGATGTCGTCTCTGCAGAACTGGGCAGATAGATGGATTTCAGTAAGATATGCATCTGATGAAGTTCTCTTGCATTTAACAACTTCTACTAAAAACTGCACTAATTCTATTCACTTTCAATAGATATTTAAACAGACCTGAGGTCTGGCAGGTGAGGTAATTTTTCAACATATAAAAATTCTATACAGCTAAACTGTTTGTTTTTCTTGAAATACACATGATTCATCTTCAAATGAATTCTGACTGTTTTTTGGAAGGAGATATTGAAACAGGGGAGATTACTTTCAGCAAATAAGCAACTTCAAGATCAGGAAATTTTAGAGATACTTTGAATTCTAGCACAAGAACCACATATGTCTAATTATATTCTAAGTATCCATTTCCAGTTAAGAAGTTCTTAATAAAAAAAACCTCTCATGTCCACTCAATAGCTATGCATATCTTTAGAAAAACAATTCTTCTAGAATATCTGGGCTCAGATTATAAGAATAATAATTACGTTGCACCATCTAGTGGCTCAGTGTCTTACATTCACTCTCCTGTATCAAACGAAATGAAGTATTAACACTTACTAAAACAGATGAACTACCAGACTTTAAAGAATTATTTTTTTTTATTTTATATTCATTATGGATAAAAAGGAAGAAGAACATTTCCCTAATTAATTTATTTGAAATTCACTAATCAATCTGCAATAAAACTGCAAGTTTTAAAACAACCATTTACAGAAACATTCCTACCACTGTTAATAAGATTTGAGTTTCTACTGGTTTTATACACATCGTTATTTCGAAAAAGTTTGCAAAATCACTACAAAAATTTCTCTCTCAAGAAAACTGCAGCTAGTGAATTTTTCATAATTCAGTTTGAGCCCTTTCTGCACATATGAAGGAGAATAAGGTGATTTCAAACAGTCAGCATGGATTTACCATGTGCAAATCCTGGCTGACCACCATGACTGGCATCTGTGACAAAATTACTCGATTTGCAGAAGATGGGAGAGGAGGAGATGCCATTTACCTCGACCTTAGTAAGGTGCTTTTTTCAACATTCTCTCCCAGTATTCTTATATCCAACTTAGGATGATACAGTATAGGGGTGTGAACAGATAAATGGGTAGAACAATGGTTGGAAGGTCAGACTCAGAGAGTAGTTGTTAATGGTTTGCACTCTACCTGGAGGGTGGTAACAAGTGGAGCAATGCAGCGGACTGTCCTGGGACCTATCCTGTTTAATATCTTTCACAATGACCTGAGGAAAAAAGTGAGCACACGCTCACTAGGTTTTCAGATGATGCCAAATTAAGCAAAAATGTTCATACTGTTGAGGGCAGGGCTGCTATTCAGAGCAACCTAGAGAGTCCAGAGGAATGGGCCAACAGGAACCTCATAAAACTTAACAAGGACAAATGTAAAGTCTTGCATCTGTGAATGAAGAATCACTCACAAGGATACAGGCTGGGGACTGACGGGCTGGGGAGCAGCACTAAAGGGATGTGAAGGTCATGTCTGACAGCAAGCCGAACATGAGCTAGCAGTGTGCCATGGCAGCAGAGCAGCCTAAAAGCATTTTGAACCGGTAGGTTTAGACTGGATACTAGGAAAAATTTCTTTACTGAAAGAGCGGTCAGGCATTAGAATAGGCTGCCCAGGGAAGTGGTCGAGTCACCATCCCTGGAGATGTTCAAAAAATGTGTAGATGTGGCACTTTTGGACAAGGTTTAGTAGGCATGGTGGTCATGGGTTGACGGTTGGACTTGATGATCTTAGAGGTCTTTTCCTTGCATCTGTGAATGAAGAATCACTCACAAGGATACAGGCTGGGGACTGACGGGCTGGGGAGCAGCACTAAAGGGATGTGAAGGTCATGTCTGACAGCAAGCCGAACATGAGCTAGCAGTGTGCCATGGCAGCAGAGCAGCCTAAAAGCATTTTGAACCGGGAGGTTGAGACTGGATACTAGGAAAAATTTCTTTACTGAAAGAGCGGTCAGGCATTAGAATAGGCTGCCCAGGGAAGTGGTCGAGTCACCATCCCTGGAGATGTTCAAAAAATGTGTAGATGTGGCACTTTTGGACAAGGTTTAGTAGGCATGGTGGTCATGGGTTGACGGTTGGACTTGATGATCTTAGAGGTCTTTTCCAACCTTAATGATTCTATGATTCTATGTGCAGCTGGGAGATTGCGAAACATGATTATCCCCCTCTGTTCAGCACTCATTAGACTAAATCTAGAGACCATGGTCAGCTTCCGTCCTGCCCCCCATCATTCTAACAAGAAATGTTGAACAATTAGGGTCATTACAGCAGAGGACCACCGAGATGGTTGGGAGCTGGAGCACCAGCTCTGCAAGAAGAGTCTGAGAGGGTTGGTCTTCTTCATACTAGAGAAGAGGTCCCTTCAGGGGACCTACCAGGAGCCTTTGAGTGCCTGTAAGCAAATGATGATGTAGCCAGGCTTTTCACAGTAGTCCATGGTAGGAGGATGAAAAGCAATAGATCTAAACTGAAGCAAGAGAGATTCCACTGTACATAAGGAAAACAGTTTTCACCATGAACAGGTTGCCCTGTTGGAACAGGTTGCCCAGATAGGCTGTTCAGTCTCCATCCTTGGAGGTTTTCAGAACCGGCTGGATAAAGCCCTGAGCAACCTGGTCTGATCTCACAGCTGACCCTATTTTGAGCAGAAGGCTGGTCTAGAGACGTCTCCTAAAATCCCTTATTATCTGAGTAGTTCTGTGATTCTACATGTTCAACAGAAAGTAGATTTTTCCACGTGAACTATGGCACTTCAGCACTTCATTAACAGATGTTTCTGTGTGGTACTTTCTTGCATCACATGATGCAACAGCCTTGCATCTCTTCAGAGGGTAACTAGGAGTATGTCAGCCCCTAAAGTGAGAGAATGAGCTTTTGACAAGTAGAATAAATCACTGTTATATATCAGAAACAGCATGGAACATGATGCAGGAGATGAAGAAATTTTCATGCAGATCGGAAGCTCA